TATTTTCAGGGATTTTGATTCAAAACACTCCATAACTTAAGCGCGGTTCTTCCACATCGTTGATATTGTAGAATGTGAAACTCCAAATTGTTTATACAGATCAACATTGTTTTCTCTATATTGCAGTCTCGAAATGATGTCCACTTTTTCTTTAACAGTAAATGTACGTCTAGGGGCCATATTCACAAGTTTTAGAAACACTGTTCACTCACTGGAATTGCTATGTAACTGATTCACAAGTTTAACTTCGTAAACATGCTTGGTAGTCCTACATACAAACAAAGCTTTAGTTTGACCATCTATGAATGTAAACAAAGGATAAGAAAGCTTAATAGTTTTATGAATGAGTCATTGTGCCTTTGCCGACTCAGTCGCAATATCCGCAAGGGATTTCTAGGAATTGGTCATAAATGGTTCTTAAAAACAAGTCCCTATACCCGAAATTGACGCTATAACCGAATTCGCTACTACCGAATGAATTTCTTACGAAAGTATTCTTTAAATTCAAGGGACGTAAGTTTGACCTCGCTATAACCAAAAAGTCGTTACAACCCAGGTCGTTATTAATGAAATCCACTGTACATCAATATTGATGTCTACTCTACGAAATTAAAAGTCACAGTCATTATTTTTTATCTTTGCCCGTGATTGTGACAATGATTTCAAAAGGAAGGATAGGCCCATCTAAATATTTTACTCATAACTTTTTTATACAAGAAAAAGTAGCGCATCTGTCATAATACAGACGTCATATCAAAACACGACGTAACCAGGGTCGGATCTCGCAGTATAATTATCCTAATTGTACCATTGTTTCCATAGTCTGTATTATGTAGTATCGTATTAATACTAAGCGAAAATACCATAATTTTACCAAAAGGTCAACTTGTATTATTATTGGGTCCTTTTACATTTTAGTATCAACCCTATGTTATCGAGAATTTCTATATTGTACATGAGTACCGCGTTTTTTTAATAAAATTAGAATTAGCTCCCTTTCTGGTCAATCGATGATCTATCGATGCATTTATGTTGCATCCTTGATACAACTATAATAAGGCGCTACCACGATAAAAACTCTATGCTCCAGAAGCAATCGGTTTGAAAACAGAATTTCAAAATATTTTATGAATCAGTTTTTCAGATTCAAATAAACAGATATGGTTTCTTTTGTACTCTTTTCGTTTAAGCCTTATTAAATATAAAATATATTAGGTACCAATATTCAAAATTTTACTTAAAATAAGTTCTTTAGACAAAAATTAAACAGAAATAAAAATAAAACCGTCAGAAAACGAAACGTATAGACAAACTAGATGCGTGACGCCAAAACCCCGGCACATGGGAAAAAAGAAACATGAAACGTCAAACGTGATATAATTTTTTTTAAATATTATAATTTTATTTTCCATGTACAATGTTTTTGAGGTTCTGAATCCAACCCTGGCCTATTCTTGGTAACGTAACTAAACTAACTGTAAATAAAACTTTAAACATGCGTTTATATAACAATTTAATTGTAACAAAATTAATATAACGTTATACCGATGACACGATATCCTATTTTTATTTAAATTTTTGTATCGTAATTTTTGCATTCTTTTACCACGCAGCTAGACATATTTATGACAGGCAAATCTGTACTGCGCGCGCACCGCTGATTTGCGTTGGCCCTAAACTGTAATTTTAGGGCCAACGCACTGGTCCGTTTTAGTTGTTCGGTCGGCCCGGTCCTTACGCTGGTAATATATGTCAATGGATTTTGACGGTTTATAGTGTTTGTTTTTCAATAAACAAATAATATAACGTTTTCTGTTCTTAAAATAGATTTATTTACATTAAAGTGAGTGCCAAATAATAAGTATGTATTATCACATAAAATTTTGTAAAGTAACTATTGTATTATATAAAAGCGAAATGTAAACTTAACTAATTTTCTCTAAACGTCTTTATCTTTATAAAGAATTAATATTATATAATGATCTGTTGCTCTATATTTATCGCCAATTTCTTATTGTTCTCATACAGTCAATACATATTTGGCCTTATTTTTCCGAGTATAGATGAACGGCTCAAAGAGGATAATAATCTTTTGTGTAAGCAAAATCAATTACATCGTACACAGAATACCCACCAAAGTCATAGATATAAAATCAAAAGGATGAAAACGTAATCATACAAAAATATTTTAGTTGAAGTATGTATTTATTAATGTTCTCCTTTTGTCTTTAGTAATTTTTAACATCCTGGTTTGCTCCACAAATGTAATGAGTTGTCCTTTGGTTGTTCCATTGGAATTTTGCAATTTACAAATTAAATTAATGTTTAGAAAACAAGCGTGCCAATAGTAATTATGTATGTGAAGATATACTCAAATATAATGTAAATATATATACAAAAAACAACTTTGATGTTGCATGATATTGTAAAGTGTTGCATTAACATAATATATTAGTTGTTAAGCTTTCTCTGAACTGTGGTGGAGTACCATGTTAATGCCCAAGCTTCAGAATGTGCTTTTGAGATACACATTTGTTCTTTCAATTCAATGCCAGTTGGTAGGTGTATTTTACTGTAGAACTATTTGGCAGCTTTAAAATGTGGAGTCATCAGCAAAGCTCTGATGATAACACCGAGCCCCTGAAAAATGTTTGTTTCTATTAATGCTTTATTATAATATAGGTGTCATTTAATAGCTGCTTAATGTAATTTCAGATTTTCACAAAGATTTAATTTTAATTGAAAAATTATGAAGCATGAAGAACGAAAATCTAATGATTTCAAACAAAACAAAGAATAAATAATTTTATGATCATGAGTCTTGTGTTATTTGTATTCCTAATATTATGTATATTAGTCTTTATAATATTTAACAAGCTTTGCTAAAGAGTTAACATATTTCTTAATTTAAACGTTTGAATTGTAAATTTACAAAGTTTGTCTTTATTTTAAAACATTAGACCTAATATATAGTATAAACCAATTCTAATATCATACAGATATTTCATTTTTGATTTAACTTTGGAGTTGTTGAATATGACTTGATCATGGACTCGCCTTGGATATTTTTCATTAATGTCAATGAGGCGGCACTCAACATCCACATCCTATGTAATTTTAAATCATGACATTGAGCTATTGAAACTCAACAGTTCAATGATTAAGGGGGTGATCTTTAACCTGGACGACAATGGTCTCATGGGACCCCCTGGAAGACTATTGTGGTACATACACATTACGGCTATTTCTGGGGGAGAGGAGAATATAATAATACTATTCTTTATTTAGAGAAAAACTTGATTATTAGGTTTTATGTTTTTTTAAACTCTAACTTGTGTGCTATCACCAATTAAGCAATAATTGTAGATCGCCTTTTTCTTGTACTTAATACCAGTCTGGAATGGTAGTTGAAATATATCAAAATGGGTGCAGTCAATAGCCCCAAGAATATCTGGCAGACCATGCTTTGCTAGGTATCTTCTAGAATTCTAGATATATTTTGTCTTGCTTTTTCTACGCCCAGAAATGATATTCCAAAAGGATAATTTTTTCTTTCCTTTGGCCCCATGCTACGGACGGAGGGATATATGGGATATACTTCTCTTTGCCCTTGTTGTCGTACTCTGGCATAGGAAAAAGATAATTTTAGCTCTTGTCAATGGATATAATCGGGGGATAAAAAATTCTCATGCCCATGCTCGCAAGGTGGATAAAACTGTAATAATAAATGTTTTATTTATATCGATAAAATCCGTAAAGGTAGTTTTAATAAATGTATAGTGTTCGCGTAAATATAAGAAATCATTTATTTATTTATTTAAAACTTACATGAAACACTTTAAGCTAAAGGGTACATAATACGTACAATGATGCTGGCCGTATGAGAACGCCTAAAGTCACTCAGCGAGCTATGGAGACTCTCTCCATAGCTCGCTCGCTCGCTATGCTCGGGGATTCTTTGCTGTGATAAAATTAGAAATGAGGATATCCGCAGTAGAACCAGACCAATAGATTAGTAAGCTAAAGTGGCAATGGGCCGGCCATATAGCTCGAAGAACTGACAACCGATGTGAAAAAATTTTTGGGAGTGGCAACTTCGTACCGGTAGACGCAGTGTAGGACGTCCCCACACTAGATTGAGTGACGACCTGGTAAGACATGCAGGAAATCAATGGATGCAGGTGGCTCAGAACCGTGCTTTGTGGGGGAGGCCTATGTTCAGCAGTGGACTTGTGAAGGGCTGTAATAATATTGATGACGTATAAAGCGTAAAATCAATTAAGACATAACTCTTAATAAGCCCTATAAACTTTCATAGATGGTATGACTATTTCGGCACAGGAGGCCATCTGCGTAGGTTGAGCCTAGTACCTATTTCTGTCACCGACTGCCTCATTGGTCTAGTGGTTGTAATAGTATGGCTGCTGATCACGAGGTCCCGGGTTCGAATCCCGGGCCGGGCAAAAACTATCAGTTATTGAGTTTTTCCATCAAGAAATTCTCAGTATCTGCCAGAGTTAGTAAGTTGGCGGTGTCTCATCCCCGTTCCTTGGAAAGCACGTAAAGCCGTTGATCCTGCGCCTGATCTCTCTCCAGTCATGTCGGCTTACCATCCCATCGGATTATGAGAGTGAGGGAATAGAGAGTGCACCTGTGCTTGCGCATACACTTGGGCACTATAATCCTGTCCTGCACCGATGGCTATTCTTCGTGGCCGCCGTTTGTCACCTTTATTCTATAAGAAATTTGGTTGCTAGTAGAAAATTATACCAAAAAGCCGTTAACATCTTGAATAAATATGGGCGTCGGTTCGATTCGGTCTGGCTACACCATCAACTTCCCATGAATGTTCTATTTCTAATTAAAAAAAGTTATAAAAATTAATATCATAAAAAAGTAAGTCAATAAAAAAGGACTTACTTTTTTAATTAGTGAATTCACAAACTTTTATGCGCAACGATTATGAGCAAACAAGCACAGACACTCACAGAGAGATATTTTTAGAAATAGTAGAAGTGAACTCTATGTACCTCAGAACGTCTTTTTAACGGAGATAATATATTAAAAAGTCTTTCAAATGTTGGAACCATAACAATGATTTCCATATATTCTGATATATTATTATATACCTTTAAAGATGCATCCGTGTAGAAACCTATCTTGATATTTTTTTTAATGATCACTTCATTATCTAATCCACCACCCTTCATCACACTATCTATCGATGGATCCCAGAAATGGTGACCCTTATAAGGATTTTTAAAGTTCACAGCTACGTTTCCTCTTAATTTTGCCAAGTACACGACTTCTACCTCTAAAGCACCCTTATTTGCTGACAGTACCGCGGTCACCGCCTGCCCAGGCAGCAGTTCCGTCTCAACACCACTTGTGGTTCCAATCGCAATAGTTTCAGATCGCTCTTCACTTTCACCCCAACTAGTTGTATATGAGAAACCAGTCGTGCCCATCATCTTCGCAAACATCACGTTCATATCATATGCAATTTCCTGAGAAACCGTCGTCTCTTTGATTTTAGTCCAACTTGTCGAAATCGTATTTTCCACTGTTTGACTTATCCCTGTGTTTACCTTAATCGTCTTATTTGAAACGTTATCGAAGTCGTGAGACACCACTATTACAGGTTTCTTCGTTATTGTCTTTAATCTTGCTGATTTGACAGTCAAAACTCGCGATATCCGTTCCCAGTTATATTTTCGGAACGAATCTCCCCAGGGTGTCAGACTTTTTAAGTAAAGATTGCTGGGAGACCAATGGTAGTGTCCCTTTACAGCCTTCCTTATGTTAGAGTTTCCAATATTTAATAATTCAATTTCCCGATGACCAATAACGTCGACTCCGAAACCAGAATTTATATTTAATGAGATATTCGAATCAACTTTTTTGCGGCAACTATAAATAAAATCAGTGCTTCAATAAATGTGTCATTTTATATATTATAAAATTACATTGAATAAGACGTGCACTACATAAGAACTTATTGGTTTCTAGTCTTAAAACCCACTCAATTTTTTAAGTTTATTATTTTTATCAGTTTATCCCTGCCCCTTTTATCAAAGTTTATTCTGTTAAAACTTTTTTATAGAGATGTGTAGTAACTAACGAACCAAAGTTTATTTTATGATTTCAATATACTTTTATATTTTAGTTATGCAATTTCTTAAAGATAAATGTGTTACGAACTTAGAAAGGCCCTTTAAAAGGCAAAACTGGTATTGGTTAAGTGATGACCCATAAGTTTTACTTACAAACTCATTAAAAATAAAATAATATAAAGTTAAGTATTTTAATCTGAACTATCTCACGTCGAGTTTTAGTTAGAGTTTTCCTGTCAACGAAATTGTGCCTAATCTCTCTCATTGTCAGGTCGTGTCGGATTGGCATGTGAATAGGGTTGCCAGATGTCCGGTATTTAAGCCTACAGTCCGGTATTTTCGAGGCCTGTCCGGTAAAATATAAATGGTCATACCGGACAGAACAATGTCCGGTATTTTGAGGAATGTCGGTACTACTGGTCACAAGCGCCTACAAAAGTAGGCATATGAAATCCCTAAAACGCAAATCTCGCGCGCGCTCCTCGCTCGCTGTTTGTATCTGCATCTGCGGGCTCTCACTTCACCACTGTATACCCGTCTCACTCACTCGTACTCGCTGCCTGCGTCCACTCCCCCACCCGCGCGCGTCCGGTGTGTTTTGTTTTGATTTTTCGAGTTTTGTTTACCTAGTCGATAATTAGATTACGCAACGTTCGGGAGTGTTTACGCAGTTGACCTAAGTACCTACTCGTTGAAACAAGCAAAGTTGTTCGTCGTAGTTGAGTGTATGTTTGTGTTTTTGACTGTTTGTTGAGTTTTACACAAAGCTAATGGAAAATGGAGGAAGAAGAAGCTTTCACCAGTTCTGCAACACCGTTAAAGAAAATAAGACGAATGTGCCATTATAATAAAGACTGGGAAAATAAATATTCTTGGATAACTAAAGCCAACGTCGACACTAGAGCTTACTGTAAAATTTGTAGAAATGAATTTGCTGTGGCTGAAGATTTGAAGGGGGGTGAACCAGCATGCCTCTACAAAAAAGCATAAAGAGGCGGAAAGTGCGCAAGCCAAGTCCCAAAGAATGGACTCTTTCTTTACGCCTAAAGGAAGCGCACAGAGTGAAAAAGTAAGCCTTACCGAGTTAGCAGATATTTTTCACTCTGTAAAACATTACATCTCCTATTTGGCTCAAGATTGTTCATTAAAGGTCAGAAAAAAAACCATCACAGATTCGGAAATCGTGAAACAAATGACCGGAGGGCGCACCAAATGCACTGCCATTGTGAATCAAGTTCTGTACCCTTATTCAATGGAACTGGTCCAAGAGGATTTGAAAGAAGTCATGCCTTTTCCGTCGCTACTGATGCGTCGAATAAAGGAAACAAGAAGTTGTTCCCAGTTGCCGTTCAGTATTTTACAGCAAAATCTGGAATGTGCCGAAAAATTTTAGATTTCTACGAAGATCCATTCGAAGACTCGCGATCTATAAAAAATCGCCTGTCCAAAGTCTTAACAGAAGCAGATCTTTCTTGGAGCAGAGTAACTGCGCATGGAGCAGATAACGCTTCTGTTAATTATGGAGTAAATAATTCGGTGTACCAGAAACTGAAAGAGGAAGAGAATAGTAATATCATCGCTGCCCATTGCAATGACCATATAATTCATAACTGTGCCAAAAATGCTTTAAAGATGTTGCCAGTTGACGTAGAAAACTTCGTTCTGAAAACATTTTCAGAATTTTTCCATGCAGCAAAGAAGAGACAAGACCTGAAAGTGTGCTTTGAATTTTATGAAAGTAAATTCAAAGAGGTCCTTCGCCATGTACCCACTAGGTGGTTAAGCTTGTTCAAAGCCCTGGATAGAGTTTTGTCATCGTGGGGGCCGTTAAAAAAATACTTTCTCGAACTAGGCGTCAATAATTGTTCACCGGCTATATGGGCTATTATAAAAGACCAAAAAGATAATCCCACAACAGAAACGAACCCAACTTATACTGAACTCTATCTATACTTCACGCATAACTTCATGGCGTCATTCCAGGAAGTGTTACTATTACTGGAAAATAACGACACATTAGCTTTCAGTCTACACAATATTATGACACAATTCCGGGACACAATAGTGAAAAAAAATTATGATGAACACTTCGGAATGAAAGTGCGTATGTCCATGAATAAAAAGTACCTATCGGATGAAGAAACTCAGGAGTTTAAAAAACTCGCCCTGATTGCTTATCAACGAGCTGTTGCTTATTTGGAAAAGTGGTTCCAGTTCGAAAACTCGGTGTTCAGAAGCTTCAGTTGCTTGGACCTTGAACGCGGTTTACCAACTCTGGACCAACTAATTGAATTGTGGACTCTAACGAGAAGCAACGACACTCCACCGGAAGCACTCTACTCAGAGTTGGCTATATTTAGTAGTGTTTACCAGTCCCTGGAGGGAAAGTCAGTGGATATGTGGTGCAGCTTTTTTAGTAAAGAATCAGCGCCAAATCTTCTCAAATTGGTTCAACATGTATGCAGCATTCCTGTATCGAACGCCTTCGTCGAGCGCATTTTCAATGTGATGGGGAATATATGGACCAATGAACGAAACCGCCTTGGTCTAGAGACTGTGAAAAGTGAACTGTGTGTTTTTTTAACATAAACTCAAACTGCACTGATTTTAAAGAACGTGTTGTATCAAATAAAACACTATTGAAAGCGGTTGCGTCAAATGCAAAATATGTTAAAAAGAAGTAAGTAGGTACTACCTAAAAGTAGTACTTAGGTACAGTATAATATACATAAATTAGTTTTAGAACAATGATTTAACTTTATTATTTGTTCATTGGAAGTTCCTATTATTTTTGTTAAACATACCTATCTAGTTTTAGGTGATTTCATTTTTTTCTGAAGTTCCTACCTTTATTTTGTTAAGTAAGTAGTAGATTATAATATTAATACCATTGTTTAATAAAGACTTTCTCAAAGTAAGCATATTCTTGGTGACCACAATTTTATGACTGCATTATATTTTGTTACTAATTAGGTTGATTTATGTGATGTAGATTAATAAATAAAAACTATTAGTATAAAAAACCCGTATTTTGTTCGAACTAGCTTACAAACCCCCCCCCCCCCGTTTGGGGTTGTCTGGTATTTTTTTCGCGACTCACCTGGCAACCCTACATGTGAGTTAGGAAACAAAGAGTGCATGTGTGCTTGCGCACACACTTGGGTACTATAACCCAGTCCTGCGCAGATGGCTAGACTCTGTTGAAATGAAACTGGGCATCGTGACCAAATTGAAATAATACTAGTTTTTACGGAATTCATCGCGTATATTTAAATTTTTAAATACCCGACGTTTCGAACGCTTTACAGCACTCATGGTCACGGGCAGGACTGAGATGTTCAACGTCCATATGTCATAGTTAACCGCGGTTACCATAGATTAAAATTTAACTTTTTGTTCCGATCTATGCAGTATGAACTTATGGTATCTTGAAGTCTTGCAGTTGTATGCTTGGGTTGGGATTTAATTTTATTTATTATAGGATCCCAAGCAGATGGTAGCACCCAGCCATCTTCTCTATTGAAATTAGGATGTTTTTTGATTTCAATAGCCTCGCGATCCTGTACGTGTTCACAGACTGCAGACTGTCGTCTGCAGTCTGTGAACACGTACAGGATCTCCCCGTCACTACATCAGATTTGATAGACCGCAGATCCTCGCTAAAGAACACCGATTCCTTCCAAGAATGATTCGCCATAGACCATAGATTAAAATTTAACTTTTGTTCCGATCTATGCAGTATGAACTTATGGTATCTTGAAGTCTTGCAGTTGTATGCTTGGGTTGGGATTTAATTTTATTTATTATAGGATCCCAAGCAGATGGTAGCACCCAGCCATCTTCTCTATTGAAATTAGGATGTTTTTTTGATTTCAATAGCCTCGCGATCCTGTACGTGTGACGACAGTCTGCAGTCTGTAAACACGTACAGGATCGCCCCCGTCACTACATCAGATTTGATAGACCGCAGATCCTCGCTAAAGAACACCGATTCCTTCCAAGGATGATTCGCGAGGCTATTGAAATCAAAAAAACATCCTAATTTCAATAGAGAAGATGGCTGGGTGCTACCATCTGCTTGGGATCCTATAATAAATAAAATTAAATCCCAACCCAAGCATACAACTGCAAGACTTCAAGATACCATAAGTTCATACTGCATAGATCGGAACAAAAGTTAAATTTTAATCTATGGTAACCGCGGTTAACTATGACATATGGACGTTGAACATCTCAGTCTTGCCCGTGACCATGAGTGCTGTAAAGCGTTCGAAACGTCGGGTATTTAAAAAGTTAAATATACGCTATAAATTCCGTAAAAACTAGTATTATTTCAATGTGTAGTGTTCGCGTAAATATAAGAAATCATTATCGTGACCAAAATTCTCTCTGAAGGATGTTATATATTGATTTAAATAAAATTTCTAATTTTGCTGCCTCAGCTCCTAAAAACTACGGATTTTGCAAATATTTGTGTAAAAATATGAATTATTTTTCACAATTAATTAGTAATAGTTGTTCTTGGGCTTGCAGTAGCTTCTTTACTATCAGATATAATAAACATACCATAATTTTGAGTTTTGAGACTGATTAGTAAATTAGTATATACTCTCTCCAAACATCTAGACTGACTAAAACCTTCATTTAATTTACGAATAAAGACTTCAATCGGACATTACTCGTAACGAAGAAATTCGATACATACTGAAGTTTTATTACAATAAATTAATAGTGAAAAAACCATTTTTAAAAACAAGCATTAATTTGAATGCTCTAAGAAAAGAAAATAAACTTTATATTAAATTGAACCCATCAAGTTATTACGTTACTAAGTTAATATGTTATAAAGGTTTGTCGCGAGATATACCTGTATAAATAAACAAGAATACAAAACTTTACTTCATATTGACATAGGTAGGTAATTCTAAGAAAAAGAATTATGCTTTTTCTAAAATTGGAAAATCTCGCAACAAGTTTTTATATTATTTTGATGGGTTTGAATTAATTATTCTAAAGTTTATGTTCTTCTTATATGAGCATTTAAATAACGTATGTTTTAAAAATTGTTTTTACTATTAATTTACTCATAGGTAATCCAAGTTGCAGTTGTGTCTCTCGGTTGTATAGCTCTGTAGTTCAGGCACAGCTTATTAAGAAAAGTTTGTTAAAACACCAGCTATCGTTCGAATTTCTTATAGCCCAGATATCTTAGGGGTAAATCCTCCCTTGAAAGAGAGAGGGCCATGTCAAGTGGCAGACTTTTATGGGCTCAAGAAGAAGAAGAAACATAAAAGTAAGAAATGCAAGTTTATAAACTAAATTAAAATAAATTAAAAAGGATAAAACAACTTTAAAAGCAGTTCTGCTTCGTAAACATCGTCGCTTTTACTTTTAAAATATATTCTGTTCGAGAATTGTCTAAAAGTCACAACAACGCTGGTGCCGAGTTTTACTCAGCAAATGCAAACATTAGCCTTTGTTCATGAACATCAAATGAGTTTAGTGCACGCCGCACACTCGTTTCGTCCGAAATATTAGGAAGATAAAATTTAAAATGAAATTTGCAAGTGGAATATAATTTTGCGTTCTTACAGTTTTATATTGCAAAAAAATTAGTTAAAAATATTTATTTATTTATTATACAACTCACGGTCGAAAAGAAAACTTTTTATTCAGTTTTAGATCTATTTTGAACAAACCTAAATTCGGTTCGTAAAAACAAGTCCTTCTCAACAAAGAACCGATAAGAAACGCTTTGTGTCGTAGCATGTTACAATTTCATTTACAAATATTCTAAAAATATTAGTTTTGATATCCACATTGTCTCTTGGGTGGATTAGGAGAGTGCGATTGTGGAGAGTAACTGAAACAGGAGATATGTGGAAGCATGTTCCTGATGAAAACTAAAAATAATAAAAACTGTAGCTGCCAACCCACGCCTGTCAAACGTGGCAACTATGGCTAAATCCACCTTGTGAGACAATCCATTCGGGGAGGCCTATGTTTAAAGGTGGATTTTTATAGGCTGTAACGGATCTTCTTCTTTAAGTACCCCTCCATTACTGAAGGTCGGCAGTCATCCTCTTAAATTCTTCTTTGTTCAGGGCTAGCCTGTACAGATCTTCTACTTTATTTACCCCGGTCCATTTCCGGATGTTACAGAGCCAGGAAATTTTCCTTCTACCAACACTTCTTTTACCCGCTACTTTGCCCATCATAATAGTTTGCAGCAGTTGGTAACGTTCATGGCTTAGCACGTGTCCTAGGTACGCAACTTTTCTCTATTTAATAATTTTAACAAGTAGAGGCTTATTCCTTTTCATCTGCTTGAGGACCTCAGTGTTGGTAAGTTTGTCTGTCCAACTTATTCGGATAGTCAGATTTAATTTTATTAATTTCACACATAATTTTCCTCAGTAGACTGATCTTTTCATATAAGGCGTTTCTAACTACATTTGAAAGGTGACAGAGCATTTTGATAAATAACATTTCAAGCGATTTAGTACGGGATCTCTTCCGCATACCTGAGTTACAATATATATATATATATATATATATATATATATATATTGTACATTTTATATAATAATAAAATGTGATTTCAGTTGCGACAAATCTTATCGGCACAGGGTGCAAATTCAGAAGGTTAACTTACATCCTAGTCTATCGTGACAAATTGCACTGTGTTACAATTTTTTTTTCTGATCTTCAATCTTCCCAAATTATCCCTTTAAATGAAAACTTAGGATTACTTGTATCACACATACATTTTTATCACCTAAATCACAAACACTATCATTATTTTTAGACCAATTTGTAGAGCCAAGCTGCATATATATATGCAGCTGGAGCAAGAACAGGTCAGCTTGCCCCTGAGCGCCAACATCAAATAAGGTAAGTTACGAGTAAAAAGGGTTTCCAGCTCTCCTCACTCACCGCACGAAACACGGCAGTACCAATATGATGCTGGTATTCTGTGCTAGTAACCGTGGTTCCCTGTTGCCATAAATGCTGTCAATCACAAGAGACGTTGAAAATTGAACAGTTACAATTCAACGTGATATATTTGATGATTTTTGAACTTTAAATAAAAAGATGACGTTTATGATAACACTGTATGTTTTTCACGCGATATCTTCGTCTAACTGTGAAGCTATTTAGATTTTTTTTTATTAGATGATTAATACTTTTGGAGTGGTTCCAAAGGTATTTGGAGAAAAAATTTAAACCCCTAATGGTGGCAAACCAGGAGATGAATTTTAATGTTTTTAATTGTAATTAAGAGGACATTAATATCAACACAAAACAGTAAAAAATAAATTTTAATAAAAAGTAAAAACCGTCCTTAAAGAACTAAAAAAATCATCATTCCCACCGCACCGAATTCAGAATGCGAAATTATATATATATTTCGATATTGTACCATAATAAATACATACAATGTTAAAATTTATCTAACCTAGTATAATCTAGAATCAAATTTTTAGATCGTAGAGCTTGGCACAGCCTGAGAAGAACATATAGTCAGGCATCGTGTTTGATGTTGTCAGAAAAGCCAACATAAACCACAAATTGCTAGGGTTGCCAAA